GGGTGGTGGTCCAACCTGGGGTTCGAGGGCGAACTGCCCTCGGCCCCTAGGTGGTCCTGAATGCCCTAGAGTGTGTGTAGGGAACGGGGCCGAAGGTTGGGACAGATAAGCTTCATCTCTCCCCTGCGGCGTGCGTCCGTCCAGAGAGTCACGGTGTTTCCCCCCTTCCCACTGTCTGTTGTCATCAGCAGAGGGGGGCGGGGTCTTCTCCCCATCTTCCCCAGAATCGGTGTTGTCTTCCTCCTCGTCATCCTTCTGCCTTCCATTTTGCTGCCTTTCAGCTAGCATGCTCTGGAGCTTCATGATCTCTCGATCATGTTGGAGTTCTCTCTGATAGAGGATCAGGGCTAACTTAGCTAAGTGAACCTGGATTGGTTTTGTACCATCCGGGTTTTCTATTTGATCGATTACAGCTTCTAGCTCGACGCTACGCTGTTCTTCAGTGAAATCCCTAGAAGGGTAGTCGGGTTCTCGAGCAACCGCGACCAGTTTGGACAATATTTGTCCAGAAAGTAGGCCAGGTTCATAGTCGTGGGCCGCAGCGCCACCTGGTTGCTGGGAGTTGGTCAGTTCACTACTCTGTCCCTCCATTTTAACAACCGAACCAAAAATAGCCTAGTAGAGCTTCTGCAGATAGCTCAAAGCTGCACCTTTGGCAGCAACTGCTAGCTTTGTAGCAGAAAAACACTAAATTAACCTTTGTGCGCACAGGTTTTAGCGTTTTAAGATTGCACGGAATGCCGTGACTGACGCTTAAAATACTATTCCTTTCAGTATTTTAGCAAAAGCTGGTGCGTTGCCGTAGCAACGTCTTACAACACTTGCAGTGTTAAATATGCTAGTTATTCCTTCAGAATATTAGCAAACAGGGTGTTATCAGTCTTTGAGTGAAGGTTTCAGTTAGTTATAATAGCCACTGTGAGTTAAAGTCGCTAAATTAGCAGTTAATTTTAGCCTAAAAGGGTTAGTCAGAATTACTTACACGTTGCACCTTTAAGGAAAAACTGAATTTTAACCTAAAAGGTTAGCCAGAATTAATTACACGTGGCACCTTTAAGGAAAAACTGAATTTTTAACCTAAAAGGTCAACCAGAATTAATTTACACGTTGCACCTTTAAAGAAGCACTGAGTTACTGGTGAGAGTTCGATGCAGCTTCCTGCTCAGCGAAATCAGCACCACTCTGTTGCTGGTTCAAGGCTGAACAACTGATTATTTTTAATTCAAGCTCTTTGGATTTATTTGTTTGTTTGTGCCGGATAGAAATCTCTGTGTATCCAAGCCTCACACGGGGCACCAATTAATGTTGGGGTTATTAGGAGCGAACAATTAGTAAGCTTCAACTTACTTTTGGATTCTTCAATAAATTCTGTAAATATGTAAATATTTACTGATTTATTAATTAATTAAGATATTCTTAGATATACGGGGCACCATTCCCCTTTAACCGGGGAAAAATTGAATCCAAAACTCTTATCAGTCTTTCTTGAAGTTCGTAGAATCCTTGGAGCAGAGACTTCTCTTCGACACAACAAAGCTACTGGAGACGAAAATCTGAATTTTATAACGTTTAATTAACAATTTGTCAAATGAATAAACAGTGGCATAAATGAATAATAACCATGTGATATAATAAAAGGATGTATATTCAAAATAATGTTCAAGGTGTTTGGGTGGTGTGTGTGAGTGAGTGTGTGTGTGTGTGTGAGATGAATGGGTCTTTGTTTCCCCAGAGTAGGTGGGGGGAGTGAGCTGTGAGTGTGTGTGGGGCTCTTCCCCTCCCCTCGCATTCAACAGGAGACCTGGATGTGTAAAGTTTTCTACTTTCCCGAACACTTAGTGGCTTAGAATCACAGTAAAACTTAACTCAAACACTTCAAAAGTTAACAAACAACAAAAGGTCACTTGTAAATTATTTAATCTAAAAGGAGTCGGCAGCCTGGCCAGAGCTGACGACTAAAGATATTAGCGATGATCAATAAGCAGTTTATTCTTTCAAAATGACCTGAAGGACGAATTGGGAGCGAAAGAGGAAAACACGAAGCTACTTTTTAAGCAATAGCGCGGTTTTATTGCTTATTCTGGACTATAGAGGAAACGGGAGAAGAAAAGGAGAGAGAAAAAATGAGTTTTCTGATCACCGGATGAGCAGCAAGGCGTCCCAGCTGTTTGATTTGACGGTTCTCCGTTTTCTCCGCAGTTTTCAGCGTCATCCGTCGGTTTAATGCTTTCTCCGTTGTTTGGCTCCACGAGTGTTTCTCCACGGCTGGACACAAAGAGAACGAAGTTTCTTTTGTGCTGAGTTTGACAACTTACAGCGTCTCTGAGAGCTGAATGGAGCTCCGCTCGTTCCCAGTCAGGTCCCGATAATGGTGGAGTGGTTTCCAGCGGTTGCGTGGCTCAACTTGGGCACTTAGAGCTTCCGCGTGCTCAAGTTGTCGGAGCGTTCGACAAGCGTGTCCTTACCGCCAGGTATCCTGGGCAAAAGAACGAGGTTTCTTTGTCTCTGCTGAAGATTTATGGTCTTAGTTCGCGGGAAAAGCTCCACGGCTTCCCGCACATGCGCAGAACGTGTTTCTGGTACTAGGCGGTGACATCACCCAATGCTTCCGTGTGCAAAGCATCATGGGAAATGAAGTTTCCTGGCGCTGATGTGATTATTTGCTTTTCAGAGCAATTTAAGCACAGTCATTTTGGAGAAAATCACTGCATAGTAATTTCCTCATGAGGTCAGACCCTCAACAGGCCCCACTGGTCAGCTGCCAAAATGAGTCAAAATAACAACTGAACCGTTTTAAATGTAATAAACCTTCATTTTGTACACATTCACAAACATAATAATGTATTAAAGTTTGAATTTGTTTGTTCCCTCAACAAAACATGATTTTGTCGTTGCATACTTCCGGCATACAACGCAGTACATCACCAACTCCGCTTTGCTGTATTCAAGCCTTTGACTGTGTTCGAGATGAGCCAGTTCTGTGCAGATTAGACCAGCGGTGATCGGCGAGCAGTGCATGCCGGTTAGATTTGTGTCCGAATTGACGCCGACTTGCTCTGACGTAGGCAACGATAACCTCGTGAGATCAAGGCGGCCGCAGGTTTTGGAGCAAGGGTTTGCAGTTGCTCTCCACTATTTGCAAAACCTAGGGGATGACGGGAAACACCTGGCTCTCACCTGATCCAAGATCTGATTGGTTCATATTTTGATCCAAACATCCGGTGGTAGAACATGAAATGTTAGTAGGTCACATGTATTCTGTAAATCATGTTATGTTGATGATGACAACTATATAGGCCATAAAGAGAAATGTGTTTTGTGTTCTTTTGTCACGTTTCCTATGAGCACACTGAACCTACAGCTGCTAACCTTTACTTATTATTACAGTCAGGTCTCCATATACAATATATGATATCCACAAGCACGTGAGGATGTGTTTCAGCTGCTAACAGGCACTAGAATTAAAATTGAAAATTGAACAAGTGTGAATGCTAACGCGATATCTTCATCCATCGTCACCCCCGAGCTACACATGTAGGAAAATCCAAGAGATTCAACTGGCAGAAACAACTGGTTCTTACCATAGTCTCTCTCTCCTCTCTCCCTCTCTCTCTCCTCTCTCTCTCTCTCCTCTCCCTCTCTCTCCTCTCACTCACTCACTCACTCACTCACTCACTCACTCACTCACTCACTCACTCACTCACTCACACACACACACACACACACACACACACACACACACACACACACACACACACACGTAGAGGAAAAGAGCTGAGAAAAGGCAGAGAGGAAATGGAGGACACCAGGTAGTTAAAAGAAAAACCACAGCGGAGCCGAGGCGCGCCTCGACTGGGGCGCGTCTGATCTGAACTGAGGAGCGGCGAGCAGCGGCCGGACTTTGTGAGCGATTCGCTTCGGGCGCTTCCGCTGCCGGTGTGTCCCCGGCGAAACGCCGGCTTTCAGCCACTCCCCCTGCTGCTTCCGTCTGTTTTCCAGGCGATGCGCTGCTCAACTCGAACACGGCCATTCTCTGCACCTCCCGTCTTCTTTAAACCGCCACGAATCATTTCACCTACGCACACGCTTCTCTGCTTCATACCGTTTCGAACTGTCTCGCTTCTCCTCACCAGTTTTAAAGCGTTTTGCCGGAGATTTCATCAAGAAATCCAATCCCTGTGGCGGCGGCATCTCCCTGCGTGCTTGTGTGTTTCTAACGTGGTTCCACTTCGTCTTTAATAGTGAACTTATAGTTCACGTGACTATAACTAATCGTGCAGTACGTGCACGAATCGTACAAGTGCAGTAGGTGGCTAGAGGCGCGCAGGTTCACGTGCGCGAAACGAAAACGGCAGCTTCCTACAGGGCGGGGCCATGATGTAGGTGAAAGCCGGTGTGTAAATGACAAATAAGGCTTGGGCGCCACCCGGGCGGTAAGTCGTCATGTATTTACCGCCCGACGAGAAAATTTAGCACCATTGGCGCTCGGGCGCTTTAACGGTCCACCCCTGATGAAGATATCTGTTTTGATTCAACTACTTTGAATTCTTTTGACTCTGTATCCCCAGATATGTTGGATGAAATTGTTGGAAGGATGAAACTATCCACCTCTGCACTCAACATCATTCCATCCTCTATTGTTAAGAACGTTTGGCCAGCTATTTCAAATATGGTTCATAATGTAATCAACTCTACTCTGCAGTGTGGGGAAGTTCCAAAGAGTCTGAAAAGAGCTGTAATCAAACCTCTTCTTAAGAAACCCGGTCTTGATGTCTCTGTATTATCCAATCATCAACATATTTCTACACTGCTATTTCTTTCTAAGGTTCTTGAGAAAGTTGTTTTTAAGCGATTGTCAGACCATTTAGATAATAACAAATTTTAGAAGTTTTTCAATCAGCTTTTAGAACAAAGCATAGTACTGAAACTGTGCTTGTGAGAGTGTTCAATGATATTTACAAATATACTGATGTGGGTGACAGTCTTTTTATTACTCTTAGGTCTGACCGCTGCTTTGATCATGTTATACTTCTCAATCGACTGGAGAAGTTTGTTGGTCTCTCTGGTTCAGCGCTCTTCTGGATGAGTTCCTACCTGTCTGACAGGTATGTGACTGTTAAGATAGGTAGCTTTTGCTCAAGTGATGCTCCCCTGAAATATGGGGTCCCACAGGGCTCTGTACTTGGTCCTGTGCTTTTCAATTTATATTTGCTCCCTCTTGGGGCCATCTTTAGGAAATATGAGCTTGACTTTCATCTTTATGCTGATGACTGTCAGGTCTATGTTCCTATTAAAGCTAAGGATTTAGCTCTGAGTTGTCTTCGTGAGGTTAATGATTGTGGATGGGTTGTAATTTTCTCTAGATTAATGACTCTAAGACTGAGTTGATTGTAGGGGTGCAACGGTACAGGTAGCCCACGGTACGGTCCATACCTCGGTACTTAGGCCAAGGTCCACGGGACGGTTCGGTACATGTTTGTGCAGAAGGAGACATCGTTTATTCCAAAACATGCATTTTATTTTTCTTCAGAGCGAAAACAGAATGTCACAATTGTAAGAACATCAGTATATGAAATAAGTTAACATTCTCTGCATTGAACACTAACACCCTCTTTCAATTATCACTTGTATGCAATACAAAATATATATAACAAATTACAAAATGTAAACAAAGATACTTGAAAATATTCAAATGGTTCCCAACCATGATACGTGATACATGAGGTAAGCAATGCAAAAGTAAAAGTGCATTTTGCGTTTTAACAAACAGGAGTTAGCTTGTGCTGTAACGTCACAGTATGGAATAAATGAACCCTCTTTAGGCTGTACTGAACACGAAATAATACAACCTCTTCTTCAAGTATCAGTTGTGAATTGAAATTTTTAAATATACGCAATGTAAAACAAACACACTAAATAAACAATTCTCGTCCTCGACAACAATGTGAACGAAAAAGTTTGGTTTTCCTTTAACAAAAATAAATTAGCTTGTGCTTAGAACAAAAAAGCAGAGCTAAATAATTTAGTAAATAATCCTGCATTCAGCATAAAAAGCGCAATATTTACTCATCCACTATTGAGAGATTTTTGTGCAAGAAGATGAGTCTATCAACACTGTCTGGTGCAAGGCGAGACCGGTTTGCACTAACAATGTCCCCAGCAGTGGAGAAAATTCTCTCACTAGGAACTGAAGTCCCTGGGACACAGAGGAGCCGTTTTGCCACTTTTGCTACATGAGGGAACTTATGCTCATTGGTGTTCCACCACATGAAAGGATCGGCATCAACGCCAATGGAGTCTGCCAACCTGTATGAAGCAACTTCATCCTCGACTACCTGGGCAAGAGTTTTGACCTGATCTTGTTTTTTAAAAACCGCCCCAAATAGCTCTGCCATTGCCGTCTTCTTTGGAGGGGGAGAGGCTTACTCTTGTCCCTCTGTGGGTGGCATCGACTCCGGCTCCAGTTGTCTCTGGAAAAACAATGACAGTTTTTTAATATATAGAATAACAGCTGTTAATGTTTATATTTTGCTCCTGTGAACTCAGTGTAATTGCAACAACAGAGAAAAGCTAAATTGCTGTTTGATCATACAGATCTGTACAAGTATGAAATGTTAAAACCTCTATATAAATTTTTAACAAAAAAATGAAATATAAATTCAGCCATGGATTCACAGGAAATATGATCAACATACCTGTGGTTCGTTCTCCAGACTTTCTGTGGCAAGATCTCTGTAGAGTCTGTCAAGGGAGGCTTCATCATGTGAGGGCAGGGATTTAAACCTGGGATCCAGGGCTGTGGCTTTTTGGAGGTACTTCTGAAGGTCAGGGTCAGTGTACCTTTTATCCAGGTCCTGTGTGATGGCTTCTTTTGCCTCTTTGATACCTGCACTGTCTTCACCTCCAGGGGCCATGCACTTGAGAATCATTTCTTTAAGTGGGAGGATCATTGAAATTGAAGGGGTTGTTTCACTCCTCATGAGTGTTGTCACAGTTTTTAGAGGTTTGAGAACTTCAATTAGTTGTTCTGCCATTTTTTTCTCGGCATCAGTCGACACTGCAATGCCCTTGACGTGGCTCTTCAGATTCTTGTCCATTGTTAATGCAGAGTAGATGGCAGGCTGCTGTTCAACATATCGTGACAACATGTCATGTGATGTGTTCCACCGGGTTATCACATCATGAATTAACTTGTGCTTTGGTAAGTTTAGCATTTGCTGTTTCACAGCAAGTGCTTGGTTGGCTGTGGTGCTGTGGTAAAAAAAAGGTGACAACTTTCCTCACTTTCCCAAGGAGGCGGGACACACTGTTGATTGACAGCCCTCTTTGCAGCGAGATTCACAGTGTGAGCAAAACAGCTAATCTGGGGTCCCAGCTCAACAGTTTCATTAACTGCATTAACAATGTTTGGAGCATTATCTGTGGCGACGGGTATAGTTTTGTTTGGCCGCTCCAGCTTCCACTCGGTGACTGCATTTTTTATCTCTTCTGCTAAATGCGCACTTGTGTGGCTTTCATAGAGGGGGCGAGTCTGCAGCACGGCGCTTTTCATCTCCCAGTCCAGCATGTAGTGAGCCGTCACAGTCATGTAGCTCTGCGTTGCCCGAGAAGTCCAACTATCAGTTGTCTGTGCGAGGCTTTCTGCCTTAGCCAAATCACTCTCGATGGCGTTGCGCGTTTTGTCGTAAAGACCAGGGATGACGACCTGACTAAAATGTGTGCGACTGGGCACAGAATAATGTCGGTCGAGCGTCTTCATTAAATGTTGAAAACCAACATCCTCGACAACAGAAAAAGGCTGCAGATCTTTCGCGATAAACACTCCCAAATGCATCAGTAATTTTTTTATGTTTCTCTGAAATAGCCCGGTAGGTCTGGGCAAAAGCATTCTCGATAGACAGTTGTTTTGCTGCTGGTGCCTGTGCGGCGGGTTGCTCGACTGACCTGTGTTCAGGAAGCTTCATGTCTGGATGCCTTCGCTGGATATGTTTTAACATGTTGCTCGTGTTTCCACTGGAGTATGAAACATGTGCCAAACATTGTTTACAGACTGTGTAACTTTTGTTGATTGTTTTTACTCCTTCATCATTGTACTCAACCCCAAATCCGAAATAATTCCAAACCGATGATTTAAAAGAGCCTGGTGCCTCTTCAAACTGTTTCTTTTCAACTCCACTGCAGCTCGCCATTTCCTCGTGTCTCTTCGTTCGCAGCCAGCCGCCTAACTGTAGTAAGAGTTTGTGAGCGAGGACCCGGATGCACAACGGTGATTGGACATTAACTTGGGGATGGGCCTTTCATCTACCTGGACTGGCAAACGCACATGGTGCCAAGCATGAAATAAAAGAGCAGCGCAAAATCAATGGGAGTACCGAAGTCCCGCGGGCCAGGAGGGCGGATTGTCCCGTGTAGGGCGTATCGAACGGTCCGGTATTTTACCGCATACCGTTGCATCCCTAGTTGATTGTGTTTGCACCAAATGGTGCTCCTGTAGTTACTCAGTCTTATATGATGCAACGGATGTTGTGTCTAATTTGGGTGTTAAGATTGATTTTCAGCTTAAATTTGATGTTCAAGTCAATAATGTGGTTCAAGTATGCTTTTTTCACCTAAAGAATCTTTATAAGTCCATTTTGATGAGGAATCGTTTTGAGAAGCTTATTCATGCATTACTAATATTTTGTTTAGACTACTGCAATAGTCTTTACTTGAGTTTTTCCTGGCTCAAACTGAGGCAGAGGTGGCACCATCCTGACCATGCGCCAGCACATGCGTACTCTGTGCATTCAACTGCCTCACTTTTTTAAAGGCCAAATATTTTTTGTTAAAGGCACGGTCTGTAAAATGACACCGTCAGGGTGAGGAGGAGGAGATTTTAAAATTCGAACGGCTGTTGCTCACTCCCCCGCCCTTCCTGAAAGAGCCGAAAGCCACGCCTCCTAATGTGCACGCGCAGGAAAAGCCGAGTCAACACCAGAGTATTGCTTCTTCATAATAGAGCTGAGCTAGTGTTAGCAATGGAGTTATCTGAGGTAAGAAAGTTGTTTTTAACCAGCACATTAAACACTTACTGTTTACAAAAGGCATTTTATAAAGAATATCTATAAATATATACATATTTTAAAATACCAGTAACAGTTGACAATCTATATTGTAAATAAAATGAATCCTATCAAATTGTTAGCATTTTATTACGAGTAATTAGCTTATTTTTAATTGCTTTGCCATTCAAGATGGGATGAATATATCAAAGCATATAATTTATGTGGAAATCATGAATAAACACTGCATTCTGTGTAGTCCTCCTATAATCATGTGTAACATGAGGAAATATGGGTTTTCTGTCACAAAGGTGGTATTATGGTTGTTTTCATAGGGTTTCTGTTTATTGTTGGTTTAGCCCAAATTTTGACTAGATGTAAACCTGATCTGTGTCAAAATGGATTAATATGCAAGAGTACTTTTTATATTAGTATTATTTTTTTTTATTCTAATACAAATTAGAGTTCAGTGATTGAGGAATCCTCTGAGGAAGAGTTTGAACCTCCTATTGCATCCTCAAGATGTGGTGCAAAAAGGAGATGCCCACCATCATCTCAAAGTCGTGGTGCATCCAGAGGCCGTGGTGCGTCCAGAGGCCGAAGAAGTGCGAGACACTCAGCCGTGGACCTTGGAGATGAAGATCTCTCTCTCTCCAGAGCGAATAGACTTTGAACGTGTAAGCATAACAAAATTACACTAAATGATCTTAAAAACTGTTGCTGTAGCATCTCTTTCCACTTTTGTAGCAACACATACAGAACCTGAACCCTCAGCAGGCTATTGACGTCCTTACCATGGTGCTGGACAGAGACCCTGGTGTTCTCTTTGATGTACTTGCCCTCTCTGGTCCACCTGCCACAACACCTCTAACATCCAATCAAACTTCATGGTGTGTATGGTCCCACTGGAGAAAGATGCCAACTGATTTGGAAAGGAAATGCTGCCAACAGCCTCCCCAGACATGTATTTCAACTGTACCACACATGGAGGAGTTTATTCTGCAAAATGGTGTTCTTCGCCTGGCCAGCACATTGTGGAATGAGTTTCGAGCAGTTTATGATGATCCGGACCCTGGTGAGGACAACAGACAGTTCCGCCATGCAGCTTACAGACAGTTTGTAGCATGGCAGCATGGAAAACTTGGTGGAGGGCGCAGGGTAGTATTCCCAAGCTGTGGTCTGGAGGATAAGGGAAAAATTCCCTGACCCCAGTGGTAACTACACTGGTTTTATTCCAAGACGATTGTAAATAAATGTATATATTTGATATTTTACATAAGTTTATTTTTTATATATTTTTGTTTGATGCTCTAATAAAGTGTTCTAAAGCAAAACTCTGTTGCATTTGTAAAAATACCATAAATGTTAAAACTCCTGCACAACAACAAAAACTTAAGTCTACCTCCAGCATTTTACATACATTTTTTAATTATTAGTCCTTATTTTCCCAAAATATATCTTTATTTTCAAACCAAAAAAAAAAAAAAAACACAGGAAACAAAAATAAAGAAGGTTTTGGGTTTTCTCTTGCCTCCCCCAACACTTATGTCTGTGGCAAAGTTTTACCTGTAAATAAAAAATAAACTCAATCAGCAATAGACTATTGTGTGGAAGATGTAAGGCAGATAATGTTTTATTTTACCATCACCGCGAGTCCGTAGGTGTTGTAGAAGTTCCTCTGTTGATGGTGCAGGGACTCCGGACAGCAAACCATAACGCCTTGGATCCTCAGGCCTTAGCTTGTAGCGTCGAGGAAGACCTTTCTTGCTTGTCAAACATTGGTTGACGATCACGGTTTGGATCTCTGGGATGTAGGAGTAGACTTTTGCCACCTTCTCAGAATACAGCCTCCAGCATCTTGATTTTTTGTTGAATATTTTATGGTATCTGAAATGACACATGCCATAACTTGTAGAAGAGCCCTGCACTGAAGCCCTAGGCCCTCGGGTCGGCCTGGCCCGTTGGCCCTCGGGCCAATGACTGTGTAATTACCTCGGACACGGGCCGGGCCGGGCTCCTTTATTTTTAATCGAATTCATTTAAAAAAAATTGAAACACCTAAACCAGGGGTCGGCAACCTGTTCTTATCAAAGAGCCATTATTACCCGTTTCCCACAGTAAAGAAAACACTGGGAGCCACAGCAGCTGCGGCGTTGTTGGCGGGGCCTACCCTCAGACAGCAGAGAGCTGCTCACAACAGGTGACAGCAGCCAGTACCGGTCACTAGTGTACGTCAGAGTTGTCTTTCATAAGAAGATAATCAATAAAATGATTTAGAGCTGAAACAACTAATCGATTTAATCGATTATAATCGATTATTAAAATAGTTAACAACTTTTTTAGTCATCGATTAGTTGTTTAATAATCATATTTTACCGCATAACGTCTATTTTTTTTACCACAATCTGACATCGGTTACAATCTGTTAAATTTGCCGCCAGTGGAGCCGTAGAAGAAGAAATTAGCCAATAAGTGCCCTCGGTTTTCATGACGTATCACGTTACTGACGCTCATCTTGCTGTGAGAGATGGCGGATCAACAAGAAATACGGAAGAAAAATAGAAGCGACAAAACAAGAGAAACCCCGGACAAAAACCTCACGAGTATGGGAGCACTTCACTAGATGCCTTGAAAAGACCGGTGACCTGCAAAATATGCAAAAACCATGGCACGACGGAAGCACGACGTCTCTAAGTGAACATTTGAGACGAAAACATGTGGGGGCTGATGCAGCAGAGGAATGTCCGGTAAGTAACAGAAAATAAACAAGCTAACGCAGATCAAATTTGGGACTTAGTGTTAGCTGAGTTCGTTATAGTGGATGTTAAACATGTTTTTTTTGCCGCGTCAGTTTACGGTGTTCTACTTCTGATTGACTAGATGCAATCGTGAATCTCCTCTGTGTCGTGAATCATGCGCTTGCCAAATTTAGCACGTCTGTTCATAAGAATGTTCTCGTTAAGAGAAAAATGGCACAAACCCATAACTGTGTTCCTCATTCAAAAAAGGACAACTCCGCGGAGAAAAATATACAGACGAGCTGTGTCCAGGTGAATATAACGCGGCATAGTTGTACGCTTTCAATTTTTAAATACAGGAGAAATTCAGAAAGTCCTTTTTTTAACTATTAAAAGGCTGTTTTACCGTCTAACGCTGTAAAACGCCTCACAACACATTTTTGTCAAAATAAATGATCACTGTATATTGTTAATTAATTCAAATAATGTAATATTGATTTAGTGTTGTAGTGTGTGTGCTGCTTTATTTTATATGTGTACTTAATTCAGTTTATTTGTGTTTCTTAAGCAGAAAAAAACAAGCAACGATGGACAACTACATGGGGAACAAGACACTCACCCCCAGCAATGCATACCACTTACAAACTCTATTCTAGATTCTACATTATTTTTTTTATGGAATTTACCTCTTATATTTTGATGCCAAAAAATTATTCTGGACTGATATTTTGCACTGTTTAGCTCATTTTACACCACTGACTGTGTTCATGTGCAATAAAATAGATTGCAGTCAACTGCACAATTCTCTTATGTTTTTCTTTTTCTTAACTGAAATGTATTCATCACTTGTATAGGTTAAATAGCTAAACAATAACAAACCGATTAGTTGATTAATCGAAAAAATAATCGACAGATTAATCGATTATGAAATTAATCGTTAGTTGCAGCCCTAAAATGATTTATATAAAATGGATCCAGAAGTTGTAGCCCGTCTCTGCCTACAACATTTTGATATTTTTTCACCCTGTTGGTGGTTTTACTGAGCAAGTGCCACTTGTGTCATACGTTTCTTTTTAAAACATGTTTAGACTGTTCAGAATACAAATCCAGGCTCTGTCACGTTTGATTGTTGTAATTAAACTTTGTAGGAGGGGAAGGTCAGAAAAGGATCCTATCATTTTGTTTTTCCCTCATTTACAGTGACGGAGATAACGGCGCAGTGCGCCTGGCTCTGGTGTTAATCAAGTTAAATTATATCTATTTTCACAAGAAAACAGAACAGTTAAAAGCAGGGCTTGTGTTGACCGGACAGTTCCCGTATTTGACCGTTTATTTTGACGGAGAAAGAATAGAAAGAATTGCCCCGACGCATGCAGACGAACTGACATTTTATTCTACGCACATCGCAGATGTAGCTAAATCACCCAAGAAAAGATTCCCATCTGAACATCTGAGCTGGACACTGCTCAGCACAGCTCGCTGTCAGCATGTACTACATAAGGTACACAGCGAGCTGAAGATGTGGAGAGGGGCTTGGAGCGCGTCGCAGAACCAGAGCGCATGCGGGAAGATTCCTCCGACTGAATTCAGTCGGAGGAATCTTCCCACTGATCTGAATCTGATGCGGCTCTCTGTGCTTGTAAAATAATGATTGGATATTTAAATAAAATGCTTTATATTTTACTGAATTAATTTTATATCTGTAAGTCAATTCTATGTAAAGATTGTCTGCGTAAACCTGAACAGGCCCAACCCAGTCTTACTGTGAGACCGGGTTGACGGGTCATGCTTGTGCGTAATCATATGCACTTTCTGAGCTGAAGAAGATGTGAGATTCTGGGCATCTCCTCAGACGGCTCCTGGATGTGTCGCCACATTGGAGACAGGAACAAGCACTATTCAGCCAAAGTTTCATAATCAGGGAACATTTTCTAAGTGACAAGTCTCTCTGAGAGACCGGGTTTGGAAAACACTCGCTTCAGTGGGAGGAACCTTCCCGCATGCGTTCTGCGACGCGCTCCAAGCCAGTCTCCACAACTTAAGCTCGCTGTGCACATACGTGCTGACAGCGAGCTGCGCTGAGCAGTGTCCAGCTCAGATGTTCAGATGGGAATCTTTTCTTGGGTGATTTAGCTACATCTGCAATGTGCGTAGAATAAAATGTCAGTACGTCTGCATGTGTCAGGGTAATTATTTCTATTCTTTCTCCGTCAAAATAAGCGGTCAAATACGGGAACTATCCGGTCAACACAAGCCCTGCTTTTGACTTTTCTGTTTTCTTGTGAAAATTGTTGGAAAGAGATAAAATTTAACTTGATTACCACCAGAGCCTGCGCTGTTATCTCCGTGACAGTAAATGAGGGAAAAACAAATTCATCGGATCCTGCACATCTTTTAACACATTGGTCAGGATTGACGCACTTTGTTTTCATTTAGTTGGTTAAAAAAAAGTCGGGCGCGGGTCGGGCCAGAGAATCCTGAAAACCTTTTCAGACCGGGTCGGGCTGAGGCTCCACCCCCTCGGGCCGGGCACGGGCTCAGATTTTAGGCCCGTGCAGGGCTCTAACTTGTAGTATACAACAAATTAGCTGAAAAAGTGTTTTAAATGAAAAATAATTTAGGTAAGCCCCACCTGGAGGCGCTATTATTGAAAATGTGGTGTTTCTGTTATTCTACAGTTGGCCTCTTGACAGCATGTTGTTAAACCAATATGTAGCAGTTAGGAGCGTTGTGGTTGTTCATCTGAGGAAGTTGTTAGTAAAAAATTACTAAAACTGGACCAGTGAATTATGAATTCATGAGTGTGTGTTTCATTTAAAATATAAATAAATAAATACATACTGTATAGATCCATCTGCTCTCCTCTTCACTTCTCGATGTGAGTGGTGATTGTAGTCCAGTGCAGCAGGCAGTATCCGTGCGTCGTAAACAGGTGGGATGTAACTGAATCTTTTGCTTGCATACATTAGGAGATGGTTGTGAAACGCCTCCAAATTTGCTGTAGATCTAAAACAAGAATTTAATATTTAGAACAATTATATTATTATTTATAGCTATAATTAAATACAGTACCTGATTTTCAAATATTTTGGGACTTCTTTCAGCCAGCGTTCACTGAGGGCTTTGTGTGGAGTAGAGCCTTTCTGAATCCAGTCTTTCTCTCTGTCACTTAGTAAAGGATCATGCTGACAAGCATCCAGAGACCACTCATGTTCTCCGGTCACATGATGGAGTAGACCGATCCACATGTCCTAAAAGACATATGTGGCGATTAGTTACATTCACTTTTTTTTATATGAAAACACAAATAATGTACTTACAAAAAACTCATAAGTGTTCGCCGACCTGCAGCAAAACCAAAAATGGTTACAGATATCTTTGTTTCACTGTAATAAAACAAGTCTCCCCAGCCTTCACAGATTTCTGCACGAGCTGATTATCATTCCTTTTATTTTAATATGGAGTTTTCATGTAGGTAAGACCACAAAATCAGACGGTAATCTGTACACGTGGCCCACCCAGGTTAGCACAATATGTCTTTCAGTGCTAATGGAAACGTAAGGTTTTGGATACGTTCCTGATCAATCACACCTAATTCTAACTGCTGAATCATCTCCTCAGACTTCTACAAGTGCTACATGAGCTGCTGATTACTCATTTTAATCAAACACGCAGGTCAGGAAAGTGTAAACATCTAATACAGCATTCAAGATGCTAACTGAACCCCGCTAACGGGGAAGTTATAAACAAGAGCTTAAAACAATATACTGATGTGGCCTATAGTTAAACGCCACTAATCATTAGCTCCCATATAAAAAAAACGTAAATCCCCTTTCGTTACTCAAACTTCTTCCAAATATAGCATAAATAGTTCGACTAGCATCGATTCATGTCGACTTAGCATTCAAGCTAATGCTACATTAGCCAATAGGACACCAAGCATACAAAGCTTGTTTGCTCTATTACTTCTTTCAGTGAAAGAAAGATTTTAAGGAAATTTATCCAAAAAACAATAAATAACTTACCTGTCCAAAAGATACTTTGCCAACTCTTCATCCGTTTTCAGGCCGTTTAGATCACGAAAATCTCTCCATCGTTTAAAACAATCTCCAATGTAAATTCTACTCGACTGTCTTAAACGTCTTACAGCCAATTTTCAAGAAGGGCTTTTAAACTTTTTAAATGTTTTTTGAGATGTGGAAGGCAGTCGTCGAATCGGTAATTTGGGTGTTTTTTGCTCCATGTTTCTGCAGTAAGCCGAGTGAGGCGCGTGACACTGTTGTGCACGCTGAGACCTGCTCGTGCTCGATGATTGACAGCTGCCCCTGGTAGTAACGCAGCGCTATTGGTCAACGCATTAGACTTGCAGAAATATTGGCTGAGCTCTACAGGGCAGGGGAGGGACTTAGGAGAAAATTGAAATATTAAAGATTATTTACTTTTTTTTAAATAAAATTGGGTCAGATGGTCAAAATCAAACATTTTTAAAGTTATTCTACATTTAAATGTTACAGACTGTGCCTTTAAGTTTTCTAATCTAAGCTTCTGTTGATTAATTGAATATTCCATTTGACAACGTTTCAAGTGAAACAAAACTGGTTTGCTGCTAAAAAATATGAAATAAAACAACAAAATTATCAGGCTGAATAACAGACTCTTATTATGAAAGGCTCAATAATATGCATTAGATAAGTGTTTAGTTCCCTTTTTCCCATCTGATATTTATAGTAAAAAATTAGGGCTGCACAATATATCGAAGAATTATCGTCATCGCGTTAACAGGATGTGCGATAGGCCCATTGCAAAGCACGTCAAAAACGGCAATGAATGTTTGGTTCAAACATTTCCATCCGTGTCGTACATTAACTGCGTAAACCAGCTCTGTTTTTTACGCGGAAGTATTATTTGACCAATCAAATGTAGCCCTTCTGATATGCGGCCAATCAGAGGGGTCCATTCACGTAATACGCCCGCCCCCTACGTAGACCCTTACCCCAAAATTCCACTGTCTCCGCTCCGCCCCTGCTTTCCGCTGCCACTCGCTTCCCTTGTTCGTCATGCTGGCTCAGATTAACGAACGCACTTTGTGCTGAGGTTTCTGGAATCAGCGCTGCTTTCAAATGTGAATGTGAGGCCGCTTGGTGTCGTTAAGCAGCTGATAATAACCGGGCTGACTCTGACACGTGCCCGTGAACCAACCCACCTACCTCCATGTCGCTAGTGTTCCACCGGGTGGTGACGTTAGCCCCAGGCTCCGGTTAGCTTCCAGCTAAAAGGCTACAGCACTCTCCTCCCAGTCCCACCCTGCTAAAGAGGGCCTAGAAAAGTCCCCCCACACATCAAAGTGATTTTTCATTTATGAGCTTTTATAACCTTGTTAATCAGGATAGTTGATTTGTTGCTGCACATAAACTGTCAGTCAGAAGCTCTGCTAGCCGGTTATCGTAAGAGAAGCTAGTTCAATTTGTTAGCTTGTTACCAGAATCATAGTTGCAGTTTCTTCATCTGAGCTGCTTTTTAAGATCTAGGTAAACTTGTTCAATTTGGGGTTAAAAACAAACTTTTTCATATATTTTCCATGTAGTTTTTTTGCCAGTTCCTCTTCTGAAAGGTAGACAATTGTTTTTCTCTTTCCCTCAGAAAATCTTAATATTCTCCTAGTTTGGCCCAGCACAGTTCACTTCCCAATAGCAGCAACAGCCTTATATCATAACCACATAAGAGGAGAAAATGTTCAGTAGCAATGAGAGAATTTGCTGTTGCATTTAAGTGATGTTAACTATTATTTAACATTTAAACTCATTTTCTGGTATTTTTATTTATTCTAAAAACCCTGGTAAGGGATGTTTTTCTGTATTTGGAGCATCAGAAAAAGTTTTATGGTGGAGGTGATGTTTTAAAGTCACTGAGAAACTGCATGCAGTTTGTTGTTTTGCTTCTAATACAGTAGCGGGTGCAGCTGCATATTTTTGCAATAAAAATGTTATGTTGTAATGGAATTCATGCATTAGTTTTTGTTTGCTTTGAACCCAGAGCAGACGTCAGACGACATCAACACTGCATACTTTAGTATTTGTTCATTTATCGTGAGTAATATCGATATCGCAATATTAAGCACTGTTATCGAATATCGCAGGTTTTCTTAATATCGTGCAGCCCTATATAAAAATATTTTGAAATATTTGACCTACATTTCAGTAACATTTTAGGTTTGTATTAATAACACTCATCTTAGTCAAAATAACACATAAATATATCTTGGGCTGCCACAAACGACTATTTTATTAGTCGCCTAGTCGCCAGTTTGGTGACAATTAGTCCCGACTAATCGTGTCATTCATAAAAGTATAGCTTATTGCACCAGGATGCGCTAATATACCCATCATTAGCTTCTAGTTCTATGTGTGATCAGTTATGTGCCATCTAATAATAAAGACAATAGCTTATCAAACTGCTTTTAATGAATTTTGTTGCAACATGTTAATACAAATGCTACAGTGTCAAACAGATCAGATGAATGCAACTAAAACTAAAGCTGGAGTGTGTGTCCAGCACACCGGATAGAGGCACATCCATGATTCTCTTCAAGCAGTCTCATTGCTGCCACCATATCTGACCCACTGTCATGAACTACTGCTTTTATTTTAGCAGGCAGGATTTCAAACTTAGCTAAAACCTCTTCTATCCAAGTCATTATATTTGTACCAGTGTGCCTCTCCTCTAGAGGCATGGTGGCAAGGTTGAAGCATTTCATGTTCCAGTCTTCGCTCAGAAAAGGGCAGGAAACACCAAGGTACGCCTCTTTAGCACGGCTGGTCCACACGTCAGCAGTCAGGGTCAGGGAACCAGTCACAGCTCTTAGGGCCTGCTTTACCTTAAAGATAAAATATATTACAGTTAGTTCATTTGCCGATATATTAATTTATGAAGCAGGTTAGGATTTAACACGGAGAAAAAAAAATATTATGCTTTTAGGGATGCACCGATGGATCGGCATTTGATCGTAATTGGCCGATAGCGCCCCTATCGGTTTTGATCGGAGTTTTCAAAATAGACCAAAGCAGACCGATCAGCTTAGGGTTGTCACGGTAACCAGTGTAACGGTAGACCCCGGTAAAAAAAAAAGTTGACAATAATAATAACCGTCTCGTTTTTTTAAAAAACTATATTATCTTGGTGGGTTTACCGAGGCTGCGGTGTAGGTGCGGTGACCCTTACCAGCCACTGTATCATCTGCTGAAGTTGCGCGCTTCGTTGTTTACAACCAAAACTTTCTTGAAGCTAAAGCTGAAATAATGGCCAGAGGAGGAGACGGCAGCGCTCAGGAGGACATTTATTATCCCTCAAAGAAGACAAAGTGGGACGTAAGGGCATCTTTTAGATATCTGAAGAATGCCGAGGGAGTTTATAGAAGACGGCGATCCTGTTTGCAGCACGTGCAGGAAAAAGTGTCTGTGAAAGGCAGCAATGCTTCAAATCTCATGACACATGCGTGACCATCACCCACAACTCTACAGTCAACGCAAGGCAAGTTAACGTTAGCATTTTAGCTAAAATGCGTGATCCGAGGATTTGGGTTGAGGGAGAATGCAACGAGACGCTATATGAAGCAGCCGCAGCGCCGCTACCTGCATATAAACCCGTGTCGCGGACACCCCCATGTTGAAATGACGCTATGCATTACGGGGCTCCCAGGGGCAGATAAGAGTTGGTCTCTCTCCGAGAATAATTATGAATTTAACAATGATTACTGCCTGATGACATTTTCCCAAATCTGCAAAGCTCACAGGAAGGACACAAACCGAGGACAATATGTTCCTGATATAGGGTTTATTACTCAAGTAAGGGTAAAAAAGTATCTGATTAGAAGGCTACTTGAGTACTGAGTATCATCTGAACTAATATTTTTAAAATGATGACAACAAACAGACATAAAATAAGAAGTTATGGGCGAATATTGGTATTTTAAAGACTAAAGGGGAAAAATGTAAACAAATAAACAACATAATTACAAAATAACACATTTTAGGCAAAATTTAGACACAAACTGAGGACAATATTTCCTGACATACAGGGTTTATTTAATTGTGTGAAAATGTAACACGTTCAAAAAAAATACCGCGATAATACCGAAAACCGTGGGAATTTTGGTCACAATAACCGTGAGGTTAAATTTTCACACCGTGACAACCTTAATACAGGCCATTTTAGATTAGGTTGCATTTCCTTTATTCCCAGATTATGTAGTTTGTAGCACTCATTATAATGTAGAAAATTTCTGGCCAATCCATGTGATCTGTATCGGTGATCGGTATCAGTGATCAGCATTCTTTGATATCGGTATCGGTGATCGGCAGCAAAAAACCTGATCGGTGCATCCTTATATGCTTTAACTTATATTAGATTCTAAATTGCTCAGTCAGCAAACTTTATTCTAAAATGCATAAAATTCTAATTTTTTATTTGTATCCAGATAGACACACACACACACACACACACACACACACACACACACACACACACACCTTTTCAAAGGTCATCTCTTATTTCCTTTCCATCAGTGTGGTGAAATGTGATCGGCCTGGTAGATACTTCTTATAGTATTCTTGGTTGAACACCTTGATCATTAAAATCTTGATTGCCAACCATGGAAAGGGGTCTCATGTCCATTACCAGCATGTTCAAAATGGCCTCGGTAAGGGCGTTGACTTGTTGCGGTGTGCACTTGGTTGGCCTTGTGAGAAACTCGTCCATTGTAGAAGAAGAGCGCTTCCTTTTAGCACTGTAACGTTGCGGGATAAAATAAATCATTAGTGTTTGTAACATTAGAGCTAATACGTGACATATACACATACATGTTAAACGTATAATCATCATCACTACTGCTGTTGCTACACATATGATGCTAGCAGCTAAAAGGAACACTTAACAGAGGCAACTCTTCATTCTCCACCGTCACGTGCTTACTCTTAGGATGCTCGTGCATTGCCGATGTGCTCCCGTGAAACGAGAGTTTCACCTTACAGAGTTTGCACTCTACTTGCTTCTCAGTTGTTTTCATAAAATGCTCCCAAACCTTCGAGCTCCGTTGTCGATTTGCCATGATATGTTGTTTCTCCGGTGATTCTGCGCGAACGCTGAGCTGGAGTGGGCACTACAACGCATGTGCCTCGACTTATATAAGCAGCGGGGCAGGAAGCAAAC